CTTCTCCTGATTTCTTTTTTGTTTCTAAGAGTCCCTTTTTAGTTTTCAGCTCTAGCTAGTATATCAAATAACCAATTTGACAGTACTGTGTGTGAAACAATAGTGGCCTCTGAATAAGTTAAATGGGTGACTTTTGCTACATCCATTTTGTGACAGCTAACTTGGCTTCTGGGAATCCTCGTATTGCCAACTCCCTGAGACCTTGTCTTTTTCTCTTGCTCCATGTTCAAGAGTGGAGCTCACAAAGCTGTGTAGGTCCTTCTGCGTCTCTAAGGTCTTAGGACTTGGCGTCTCCATCACGTACAGAGGACAAATCATGTATACCATTTCCTGAGTAGAGGTCTTGCCATGTTAGTTCCATTATAAACTTCTTGAGTGCCGGTTAATAAAGATGGACTGAGAAGTAAACAAGAGCAGCTAGCGTTTTCTTCCAGTTTAAGTTGTGCTCTCATGTGGTCTGGCGGAGGGCTACGCCTCCTGTCTAGAGTGGAATGGATGGAGTGCGGGTTTTACCCATCGCTTTTAAGAATCTGCCTGGTAGGCCGCTATTCCTCCCCGCAGACTAAGGGAACAGAAGTTCATGTCAAGAAAGGTCAGATTCGAGGCTTAATGCCATGGGTATGTGGGGGAAGTAGGACTCGAAGAGATCTGTGGCCCATCTTGATTCTTATAAATGTCACTTCTTCAAGACCTTCATGGAATGAACTCTATAAAGGGGTCCCTAGAGACTGTGAAACCAAGAGACTCCCTCACGGATGTCCCTGTATTGCAGCAACAGGCCAGGATTGTCTCACATGGCCCTGCCGAGGTGTCCCCTGGCCCTATACCAGCTTGTGTGTACCTCACATTCAGCCTCGCCTTTCTGTTCTCCACCTCTGTTCAGTTTCCCCAGCGTCTCTGATGCTTCCCTGCTCATCCTAGGCTCGGAGGCATGAATGTGAGGCTGGGGTCCCATTGCCATTTGCAGTGGATCCTGCTAGAGTCCCCCAGTGCTCTGCTCAGGCTGAGGGGTGGGTGGGAGGAGGCTGCCGCAACCCAGAGCCCGACCCTAGTGGGTTGGTCGCTGGCCTGGGCCAAGGGTTGCTTCACTCATCTGGCACAGACACCTCGGTCCTCAGCACTCACAGCAGGTCGCTCGACACATCTGGAAAAGTTCAAAACTGTTTGTCTGGGTGAAGGAGGCCCTGGGGGAGGGGGTTCAAAGGCATGACATCACCTCAGCCAGGCCCAGCTTCCTTTGGGAAGAGAAAAGGGCTGGGCCAGGCTGGGCCAGATGGGATTCCCAGGAATTGATGTATCGGAGGGGAAGAAGAGGAAAGGGTGGGCAGGAAGAGTGACGTCACGGGGGATTCCAGCCATGCCTTGCAATGTACCTTGAAAGGATGACTTCAGTTCTTATCACTTGCTCTCTACAGTGAACCAGACCTTAGGGGCAGATTGTGGAGCGGGCCCTACTTCTGGACAGAAGAAGATGGGATCTGCTTCCCTGCCTATTTAATTTTGTCCAACTGACTCCCTACCTAAGCCAGACAGGAGCCCCTCCTTTTCTTTCCAGAGAATGGAGGGTGCCTGCTGGTCCTGAGAGGTTTGGCCCCCTGAGTCAGCTAACCCTCCAGGCCCCATTGCTCCTCGCCCCACATGAACTGTGCCTTTCTTCTCTGCCCAAACCCTGGTGAGGTGGGTCCTCATCTCCAAAGCGGACAGAGCGGTGTTACTGTGTCCGCCTGCTCACCTGCCACGTAGTATGAAGATGATGGTCGTCCTTGCCCTTAATGGCAGTCATCTTGGCGGCAGGTTGGGGAGGGAGGCAGCTAAGGGGCGGGAGAGACTTGTCACCATCTCCAGGGATGCATTCTTGGGCCCAGGTTAATAGAACGTCCCTCCAGTGGCTGAGGGAAGGAGAAGGTGTCATTCTGCGTTGCTCTTTCCTGGGAACCTCGGGAAAAGGCTCACCTAGCTCTCCATCGGGAACATTCAGAGACAAGCTTTGGGGGCCCTCAGGAGCCTTTCCTTGAGGCTGGCACTGCGGGGCATGCGCTCTGGATCTCCAGTCCACCGTCAGCATGTACAGGGTCTGAGCCCAGAGTACAGGGGAGGCCCAATACTACATGTCTAAATACTTCAAAGTTATAAACCAAGCCAGTGGTCGGCAAACGCATTAGTCAACAGAGCCAAATAGCAACCATATGACAACTGAAATTTCTTTGAGAGTCAAATTTTTTAAACAACTTCTTCTAACACCACTTCTTCAAAATAGACTCGCCCAGGCCGTGGTTCTTTTTTTTATTTTTATTTTTTAATATATGTTATTGATTCTCCACAGAGAGGAAGGGAGAGGGACAGAGAGCCAGAAACGTCAATGAGAGAGAAATACCGACCAGCTGCCTCCCACACCCCCCCCACCGGGGACAGGCCCGCAACCAATGCACATGCCCTTGACCGGAACCGAACCTGGGACCCACCCCCCCACCCCCAGTCCACAGACCGATGCTCTATCTACTGAGCCAAACCGGCTTCGGCCAGGCCGTGGTTCTTTGTGGAAGAGCCACACTCAAGGGGCCAAAGAGCCGCATGTGGCTCATGAACCTCAGTTTGCCAACCACTGAACCAAGCCAACCGACTGATAAATAAAATACCATCTATTCTCCTACTTCGTGGCCACCTGAAAGGCCAGGTTTGAATGTGAGACTCTTGTGGTCCTGGAATTCAGTCCCACAATGTGGCTGAGCAAGAGGAGATGGCCCTTGGTCCTAGCTCCCCCCGCTTTTCTTCTTAACCATGACGCTGGACCTCACTGTAGTGGGTCTTCTGTGCATGTAAGAGACACTCCACTCTCACGCTTACGTTCTAAGCCTTCTCCCTGCAAAGAGCCACCCCTCTGCTGCCTCTGGGCCTTGCAGGCGCCCACTCTGGTGCTGCAGCTCCCCCTCCGCAGGATGGGCTGGGAGAGAAGGCCCGGGCAGGTCCTCCAGGGAGGAACACGTTCGAGGACTTCTGGCCACCAAGGTATATTCTGGAAGGGAGGCTCCATCTCTGTTGGCACCGTGGTTGGAGGGCAGCGCAGGAGGAGGAAAGCTCAGGGTCCAGGCAAGAAGCTTCTCCTCCCTGGGTCTAAAGACGGCTCTGCTGGCTGGAAACTAGGAAACATGAGGGCAAGGACCCTCAGGAAGGTCTTCAGAGATTAACTAGGTCCGGGAACATTATAACTAGCAAGTTCACATTCATGTCATTGATTCTCCCAAGAATCCATGTAAGGAAAAACCCTCCCTTTAGAGATTTATAAACAGACACACACACACACACACACACACACACACACACACACACACACATTAAATTGCAAAGTTACTAGCAGAGCCAAAGCTAAACTCTCTGTCTGCATCAGATGAGGAATCAGGCCTGATGTTCTCCAATTGATCAGCTAGATTTCTAGGGCAGAGATTCCTGAAGGAAACCTTAGGGTTGCTTGCTGCAGTTCTTCAACCAAAGAAAAGCAGAATCAGTTTAAAGGCCAAGAGGGAGAGAACGAGGGGAGTTTGGGAATGGAAAAGTCTAGGAAGAAGAGAAGAAACATAAAGAAACTGCATAGAGCAATGGTTCTCAACCTTCCTAACGCCGCGACCCTTTAATACAGTTCCTCATGTGGTTGTGACCCCCAGTCATAAAATTGTTTTCGTTGCTACTTCATAACTGTCATTTTGTTACTGTTAATGGACCATAATGTAAATATCTGTGTTTTTCTGAGGGTCTTAGGCTCTATAGCAGCGGTTCTAATGTTGCGACCCACAGATTGAGAACTGCTAGCAGGGTCGCCTGAGATCATCAGAAAACACAGATATTTACATGACAATTCTTAACAGTAGCAAAGTTACAGTTATGAAGTAGCAACGAAAATAATTTTATGTTTGGGGGTCATCACAACATGAGGAACTGTTAAAGGGTCGCGGTATTAGAAAGGTTGAGAACCACTGGCAGAGAGGATGGTATGTTCATAGTGATTATTCCAAGAACTATTGTGGTGGGATGGAGAGTAAGAAAAAGAGAGGATACCTTAAGAAAGGAATAGAGATATGTCCTCCCCACATTTTAGATCTCTGTCATATTTATCCAGGTATACTTTGCTATTTTAATATTTTACTTAATATGTTATGAACATAGCCTCACATCCTCATGTTGCTATAGTTTTTCCATATCCGTTTATGGTAATGATTGTGGTATCTTAGGTGCATATGCCATTTATCTGATTGTAATTCATTTTAGTTGCTTGCAACTTTTCCCTCCTGTAGATAATCCTCCTATAGATAATACTCTTCTAGCCACTTGGTACATACAAGCTTTTCCTTCCCCATTTCCTTAGGAAAAATCTAGTCGTGGGAAATTAGTTGCCTGTCCAGGAGGATGTTCTTGTTGCTGTTGCCTTGCCAGGGGTGGCAGGAGATATTCTAACGCTTCACAAATTTGCATGTCATCCTTGCGCGCAGGGCTCATGATAATCTTCTAGGAATCATTCCAGTTTGAGTATATGTGCTGCTGAAGCGAGCACAGGATATTTTGGATGGAAATTGAATCACACCCTGGCCAGTTTCCTTAGTGGTTAGAGCACTGGTTGAAGGACCAAAGGGTTGCTGGTTTGATTCCTGGGTTGGGCATGTTTCAGAGGCAACCAATCAATGTGTCTCTGTCACATCAATGTTTCTCTCTCACTCTCTATCCTACTCCCTCCTCCCCCCGCCCCGCCAACTCCCTCTAAAAATCAATGAGAAAAATATCCTTGAGTGAGGATTAACTATATATATATATATATATATATATATATATATATATATAGAGAGAGAGAGAGAGAGAGAGAGAGAGAGAGAGAGAGAGAGAGAGAGAGAGGAAGGAGGAGGAGGAGGAGGAGGAGGAGGAGGAGGAGGAGGAGAAATAGAAATTAAATCAGATGATAACATGAGGCTCCAAGACAATTTAAGTTCTGACTTTTCCTTCTTGTTTTTCTACAGCCTCTACATTCACAAATGCAGATAACTTGACTACTGTTGCCACAGAGCCACCTACCAAAGGAATGTCTTCAGCTGTTCCTACAAATGTATCCAACCAGGAACCCGTAACACAAAGTACTCATGAAAGTACCACCCTCTACACCATCTCTCAGAACAGCAGTGGGACCACAGCAGACATCTCAGGTAAAAAGTGTTTGTCTTCGGTCCCAGAGGGATGCTGCTGGTGCTTGGATAAAGCATTAGGACATTTGCAGACCACCCTTCCTGCCCCTGCTGACCCCCATCGAGGGAAATACAGGTTCCTATAACAATGGCGTGGACATCTTGTTTAGGGTACCCTGAAGTAAGTTCTAGATCATTCTTCCTCCAATGACAGCATCCTCAGGCCAATGCCTTGGCAGCTGATCCTCTGCTCTCATGCTGAGTCTAGTTTAGTGACAAAACAGGGCTAGCTGAGAACTCCTAGAGATCACTGATCTCTCCTAAATGAAGGAAGTTGTTTATGGGTTCAAATTGGGGGTCTTTGACTTCACTAGGGTGGACCAGCATCCAGTTAAGTTTCAAAATCCTGAGGGCATTCCAATACATCTAGATTATAGCTATAATGCCAACAGCTGGCTTGAAGTGAGTTTGGTAAGGGTGAGGCCATAAAGTAATTCTCAAATCCCCAATTTCCCTCTTCTGAGTTAAAGACCATGCCAATGTCATTATCTATAAGGTCCTCACTCATGACAGTGAACTGAGAGGTTGTGTGTGTGTGTGTGTGTGTGTGTGTTTATATTTATGCAAATTTGCTCAAATGCACACTTGTGTTTTGGTCTTTTCCAGAGACTACAGTCAAGTTTGCATCTACCTCTGGGATTACCCCAGTTCCTGGAACCATGAACTCTTCTGCTCAGACACAGACCTCTTTAGCCACCATCGTGTCTTCCACCCTAACCAACTTTTCAACTTCGGAGATGACCTTGGAGCCCAGCACGTCACCTGGAAATATTTCAGACCCGACATCCAATAGCACCAGTCCTGTGGCATTTACCGTTGAACCCAGTACATCCTTTTCTTCTACCCCCAGTACCATCAAGGTGGGTGAATTAGGCCCAGAATGGCAGATTTTCCCCTCATGTCATATGTATACGAGCTCTATACTCCCCTTAACTTCTCCTCATCCCAACCAATAAGATCTGGTTCATTAAGAATAGGCATGGGCCCTGGCCAGTGTTACTTAGTGGTTGAATCCCATGCACTGAAAGGTTGACAGTTTGATTTCCAGTCAGGGCACATACCCAGGTTGTGGGTTTGATCCTCGATCAGGGTGTGTCGGAGGCAACCGATGTTTCTCACATCAATGTTTCTCTCTCTTTCTCTTTCCCATCCTCCCTCCCTCTACTTTAAAATCAATAAAAAGAATTAACATGAAAAATATGCAGCCTAAATATTGCTGGAACAGGTAGAAAGGGGGTGAGGGGTGGAGTCAGGTGGCTAGGCTGATTTGTGCCATGGGAATTGCATTTCTAAGGAGTAGAGATTAAAGGGGATTCTCTGTGATCTATCCAGTCCTCTGTGGTTCTCTCTAGTACTTCTTGTCCTGGGCTTTGATTAGGGCCCCATTCCCCTTTGTACACATTTAGAAACCATCTTTCATTTAATGGTGCTGTTTTTCCCAAAATGCTTAGGGCAAATACCATTTCCTCTCTGTGAGACAGTTTGGCGGAAATCCAGGCATAGAGAGGCAGTGAGGAATGGAGCAACCAGGGATGGTGAGAACACTGGCCCTTCTCAGCCCTGGGGCTAGTGACTGGCTGTCGCTTTCCACGTAGAGGATAGGAGATATGAGGTCTGGGTACCTAGGAGTGGGCTCTGGGGGATCTGCTTGGTTTCTTTTTTAAAAGGAGCTAGGAAAAAAACCGACAGTCCTAGGGGCCAGGAGGAAACTGAGGTTCTGCTCTGCCCCCCATTATCTGTTTGCCTATACAAGGTGAGGCAAAAGTGGATTTACACTTTGTGAGTACACAAAACATATAATTTACTTTTGTGTTATGAGTTATTGTATTTTTCATATAACAACTGTAAACCTATTTTTGCCCCACTCTGTATGGCCTGGCTGGGAATAAATAATTCACTGGGGGGAAAAGAGCCCACCATACCCTCTTCTATCTTTGCACCCTGTGTGCCAGTGTTTACCAAGTTTGCCAATAGCTGGTATCTGCTGGGACCGGTGATGAGATGGAGGAAGAGAGGGAGACTGTTATAAAGCTCTAGTTCTCTAACATTTTTAAAATTTATTTTATTTTATTTATTAAATTTATGGGGCTCACATTGGTCAACATGAACATATAGGTTTCATGTGTGGGTTTCTATGTTACAGGATCTGTATATTGTACCATGGGATCACCACCCAAAGTCAAATATTCTCCTGTCACCTTACATTAGAACCCTCTGCTCACCCCTCCCCCACCTCTTCCCTCCCATAATGACTTTTAAAATTCTTTTCTCTGAACATCTCTTAAGAGTGCACTTCACAGAATCACACTGGGAAAGAGGTGGGGAGGAAATGAGCGGCAGAGATGCTGGCTTATTTACTTTGTTTTCATACAGGGAGAAATCAAATGTTCCGGAGTCAAAGAAGTGAAATTGACCGAAGCTATCTGCCTGGAGCTAAATGAGACCTCCAGCTGTGTAAGTCAAACTCCCACCCTTGTGCCTTCCCCCTCCTCGCCTCCCACAATTCCTTCTCAACCCCCTTAGACCATTGGTTCTAGATGGATGTTGGTGGCCTTTAAGCAAGGTCAGGCTAGTTGCAAAATGAGCTTTGCGGTTATGGAGTAAGAGGCCCCATCTGGTGGACAAAGAAGGCAAAGATGATTCTATTTAAATGTAGTTCTTACTTTTTACCTCCTCTGGTATAGTCTCTGTAGTACATTTAATATATAATATATTATATATATATATATATATATATATAATATATATATATATATATATATATATATGATTTAAGTTTGATTTTATATTAAGAAAGTCCTTGCCGAAACTGGTTTGGCTCAATGGATAGAGCGTCGGCTTGGGGACTGAAAGGTCCCGGGTTCGATTCCGGTCCAGGGCATGTACCTTGGTTGCGGGCATGTCCCCGGTAGGGAGTGTGCAAGAGGCAGCTGATCGATGACTCTCTCATTGATGTTTGTAACTTTCTATCTCTCTCCCTTCCTCTCTGTACAAAATCAATAAAATATATTTTTTTAAAAAGTCCTTCATAAAATAGTCACCTAAAATATTAATTTCTTTATTATATTTATTTATATATAACTTTAGTCCACATAGAATTTCTTTTTCTGTAATGCTGTGTTTTTTATATAACCATTTTCCCAGATTATTTCTTTCTTTGTTGATCAGAATGCTTCTTTTAGTTTATATTAAGTTTTTATATGTCACAGGGCACATTCTTGACAGATATTTTATTCAGTTTGTCTTTTTTTTTTTTTTTTTTTGGCCTGTTATAAAATTTTTTAAATTATTATACTTTGACATTACAGGATTTTTTTAATATTTAGCCAGAAAGGTCCTTGCTCTATAAAAAGGAAAAGTATTTTTTACTCTATTAGAAAAACTTTAGGAACATCTTGTCAAGATTTTTTTAATTAAAATTTTAATTGGAACTACTTTAAAAGTCATCCATATTTTTTCTGTTCTTCCCTTATAGTATTCAGCAACTTGTATTTTTTGTTTTTTAATTTTTTTCTATAGGTTTTATAGATTTCTTAAATTTATCTATAATATAGACTTATTATGTATTACAATTGGTTATTGTTGGGATATTAGAGTTAATTGAGTTTGGAATATTTATCTTGAGTTTAGCCATTCTGGTTGACTTGCTTGTTAATTCCAGGATCTTTCTAGTTTATTCATTTCTGTTTTTAGGTAAGTTATTATGTTCCCTTCCACAATCTGTTGTTTTTCTCCTCATTTTCAGTAGTTATGCCTCTTGTTTGAGTTTCATGCCTTAGTGCATTGGTGAGATTGTACAGTGTGGTGTTCACTTTTAACGATAATAGTAGGCCTCCTTACTTTGTTGTTTTATATATATATATATATATATATATATATATATATATGTATATATATATATATTATATGTTGTTGATTTTTCTTATAGAGAGGAAGGGAGAGGGATAGAGAGCTAGAAACGTCGATGAGAGAGAAACATCGACCAGCTGCCTCTTGCACACCCCCTACTGGGGATGTGCCCGCAACCAATGTACATGCCCTTGACCAGAATCGAACCTGGGACCTTTCAGTCCTCAGACCGACGCTCTACCGTGGAGCCAAACCGGTTTCGGCAGACCTCCTTACTTTGTTTCAATAAGCCTCATTTCCTAACAGTAACGAGGCTCTGAGTGAAGAATGTGATGACAGCAAGAGTGGTACTCACTTTCCTTACAAGTTAAGGATTCGTTTAAAGGAACCATCTGTGTGATGTGAGGCATACACGACCTGGAAAAGGGCTGGGGAAAGACTGTGCTGTCGAGTGCATGAAATTACTTATTTGGTCTGTTCTAACTGCTGACATCTACCTGTGCTTATTAGGTGGATGGTTCTGACTCACAGGTCTTTTCAAATTATACCTTAGAGAATTACCTTAGGACTTTTAAAAACAAAGTACATGGTGAAGACATAAGTCCACACAATGGAATAACTAAGTGCAATTTGCAAAATAGCTAACTTGGACACGGATGTAAAATGTTCTGTGTGTTCCTGATGCTGACTTTCAACTCTGTTCATTAAAAAAAAAAAAAGTGCCAAATCCTTTGCTAATTCTAGCTCAGGAAAATAACCATTCCCCCCCGCCCTTCTCTTTCCCTATCATCTCAGTTGAGCGCTTGTTTTCCTGTGTATCACGGGTCTGTGCCAGAATGCTCATTCTTTGTACCAACAATTTAGAGCTGATTGCATAACCTTCTATGTGTCTGCCCATTGCTCTTCAAAGTTCAAATTTAACTAGGATTATCATACAAGATGAGGGCCAGGAACTTACTGCTACTCCAGAAATAATTCCTCTTATGTTACTATGACCTCTTTCAACCCATGGTCTTGACTGTCTAGTCTGTTCTGTGGCACAGCTGGGAAGAACTGCACGCTCCTCTGAGATTTAGGGAGGATACGTGCGTATCAATGTAGAAAGAGAGTGGCTCCCCCAGTTTTCTAAAGAAGGCTTCTGCTCTGCTTGCCGTAAATCAGCTCTATGGTAGCGACAGTGGAGTGCTATCGTTTCCCTGGTGGGTCTACCACTATCGATCCCCCTTCCTTGCTGAGGTCCCCTCTTCCCCAGACCTCAAGCAGCAATGCCTCCTATGAGTCCCCAAGGTCATTTTCCTCAGTCAGCCAGAATTTGTAGCCACACCTCCTGCTTGTGTCCCAGATTCCTTTTCCTTGAGACCTACATGACTGTCTGATCATCAGTCGGTTCCCAATGCTGAGGGGTGCAGGGTAATTTTTCTTAAGATGGTTTTTACTTTTGGTGTCAGAAGGCCTTAAGGTGCTGGTTCTAAGCATGGGAAACATAGGCCCTACTCACAGCCTAAGGAGAAGCATGAGAGTTTGGATTCCCCTAATATCACGTCCTTAAATACTTGGGTAATATCGGCATGCTCCTGCATCTGTATTCCCAGGAGAGAAATGCACAGGCATTGTTCTCAGCCATCCAGATTCTCATTCTGTACCAAAACTTACTGAGTATCCAGCGTGTTAGCTCTTGCTATGTGGATTCCTTCGACTTGTCTTCCATACATGCATGCATTCTGTAGACATTTGTACCCCAATCATGCTTCTTTCACCCCCATCCTTCATCTCTAGGCAACACATCACCTGGATCATCCAGGGAGAGGCAGGGCGGTCCCATGTTCTTCTCAAGCACCCGGTACCACAGCTCAGAACCCTCATTAGCAGGACGTGTCACCCCATGTCTGACTTTCGTTTTCTCTGCTGCAACATCAGGTTAATTAAGTGTTTGTGATTGTGGTTTCTCAAATTGTTTCCAAAATGTGAGCTTATTTTATTCTCTTATGTCGTAACCATATCTAAGGGTGCAGTTCAGCAGTGTTAAGTGGAGTCACCTTGTTGGGAAGCCAATCTTCAGAACTCTCTTCATCTCCCAGAACTAAAACTCTACACCCAGTAAACAATGTCCCATTCTCCCCTCCTCCTAGCCTGGCAGCCACTATCCTACATTCTATGGCTCTGAATTTGATTCTTCTAGGTATGTCATATGAGTGGAATTATACAGTATTTGTCCTTTTGTGACTGGCTTATAACACTTAGCATAATGCCCTCAAGTTTCATCCATACTGGAGCCCGGGTCAGAATTTCCTTACTTTTTAAAATTGGATATCTTTTTCCATTGCATGTACACACTACATTTTGTTTATCCATTCACCCCCTGACGGACACTTGGTTTCATATTTTGGCTATTGTGAATAATGCTGCTATGAGCATGGGTATACAAGTATCTCTTCAATGCCCTGATTTCATTCCTTTTGGTTATATAGCCAGAAGTAAAATGGCGGATCATAGGGTAATTATATTTTTAAATAGAATTTATGTTTTCCATAACAGCTGCACCATTTTACAACCCCATCAACAGTGCAAAGGAGTTCCAGCTTGTCCACATCATTGCCAACACATGTTATTTCCTGTGTTTTGTTTGTTTGTTTGTTTGTTTAATAGTAGCCATACTAATGGTCATGGCTATTATCTCATTGTCGTTTGGGCTGGCATTTCTTTTTTAAATATATTTTTATTGATTTTTTACAGAGAGGAAGAGAGAGGGAGAGAGAAATTAGAAACATCGATGAGAGAGAAACATCCATCTGCTGCCTCCTGCACACCTCTTATTGGGGATGTGCTTGCAACCAAGGTACATGTCCTTGACCAGAATCGAACCTGAGACCCTTGAGTCCGCAGGCCGACACTCTATCCACTGAGCCAAGCCAGTTAGGACTGGGCTGGTATTTCTTAATGATTAATGATCTTGATCATCTCTTAATGTGTTTATTGGCCATTTGTACATCTTATTGGAGAAATCTCTAAGTCCTTTACCTGCCCATTTGGTTTTTAGAACTACCTTACTTTAGAATCAGATCTATTTGCACAGAGGTTTTATTTATTCAGCTAGCTCACGTCGCCTTTATTCTGTCCCAATGACTTCATCTGAGGCAGACTGCCTCCCGCCCGCAAATCATATCCCCAGCCCCAGCCTTTCTTGCCCTCTGCTCAAACACTAACGGGCAGTTTCCATGCAGAAAAACAGCGTACAGATGGAGGGCTGATGAAGACAGTGTGTTTCTTGGAAAGAGCCTGGAATCGGGAGACAGCCTAACTTCGTGCCCTTGGTCAGCTGCCCACTTGTGTGACTTGTAGCAGGTCCTTTAATTAGTCCAGAACCCAGATGAACATAGAGCAGTGGTTCTCAACCTTCCTAATGCTGTGACCCTTTAATACAGTTCCTCATGTTGTGGTGACTCCCAACCATATTATTATTTTCGTTGCTACTTCATAACTGTAATTTTGCTACTGTTATGAATCATAAGGTAAATATCTGTGTTTTCCGATGAACCCCTGACAGCGGTTTTCAACCTGTGGGTCATAACAGTTATGAAGTAGCAACGAAAATAATTTTATTAGTTGGGGGTCACCACCACATGAGGAACTGTATTAAAGGGTCGAGGCATTAGAAAGGTTGAGAACCACTGACATAGAGGTTTTGCCTGCATTATCAAACTCGCACACAAAGTACATAAAATTATTGAGAGAAAGAGAGAAAGAGGGATACAGCACTGGGAAATACCTTAAAGGTCATTTAGAAAAATCTATGTCCTTTACTTTAATGCTTAGCATGCTTCCTTGACAAGCTAAGAGTCCTTGAAAAGTTTGAGGGTGCTTCTCTAGAAAGGTTGGATGGTTTTATTATTTTGGTTATTATTTTTGAAAAAAAAAAAAAAAAAAAAAAAAAAAAACCTCGTGCAAGCCGAAGGGGTAGTTGGGGGCTCACAAATCGGATTCTCATGAGCGAAATGGCGAGGCTGTGCTTCCTCCTGCCCACTCTCCCATGCTGCCTGCCCACAGCCTCTCCTGGGGAAGGATGTTTATTTCAAGCATCCGGAGAAGCATTGTGCTTTGTTCAGGATCCACCTGCTCCTCTCCGGGCTCACACACAATCCCCCGATGCCGAGTGGGAGGCCGCTGTTCTTCCCTTGAATTTAGTCCAAGAAGCCAAGTAAGGGGTGGAGGGACTCCGTGTGAAGGCCAAACCAGTGGGGACGCTGGGTGGAACAACAATCACTTTTGTTTGTTTGGGGCTATGCTTAGTTCAGCCTGGGTTCCACATTATGTAATATACACCTGCTCCTGCACTCCGGAGTCTTGCAGTCTAGTCAGAGAGAAATGGCAAAAAACGATAAGGCAGAATAGGATTAAACATCCAAATGTGAGGATTCTAGATGGCGGAGTACAGAAGGTTTGCTATTATTAATGGTAATGGTAATGGCTGCCATTTTTCCAGTGCCCGATGGGGTTTCAAATGCCTGCTGGGCACTCTCCATACAGCACCTGCTTACTCTCCTCAGCAACTCCGTCTTCAGCTGAGGACCCTGGCACTCAGGCAAACTGCATGCCATGAAAGAATCTAGTCACTGGCAGAGCAAAAGTTGATGTCCTTTCTGATGGGAAGTAGGACCTGCTTGAGGGAGGAAGTGGGACTTGGAAGGATGGGGAATCCAAGGGAGAAGATAATGTTCTTCCTTCTCCCGCAAGTAGGGTTGTGACAGTCTCAGGCTCTCATGCCCCTGAGCTCCCTCATGGTGGTGCCCCAGTTAGAGGCCTCCCACCAGCTTCTCCCATACATGTTCTGCCTATCCTTCAAGGCCTGCATTGCGATGGCAGCCCCAGGCCAGATGTGCCCTCACCCTCCTCTGAATGCCGACAGCATCTTAATTACACCTTTCTTTGGTAAACCAGGGCTGTGACCTCTTGGTCTCCTTTTGCTTCAGTTTCTTCATCTCTAAAATGGGGTGATGTGCTGAAACCGGTTTGGCTCAGTGGATAGAGCATCGGCCTGTGGACTTAAGGGTCCCAGGTTCCATTCTGGTCAAGGGCATGTACCTTGGTTGCAGGCACATCTCCGATGGGGGTTGTGCAAGATGCGGCTGACCGATGATTCTCTCTCATCAATGTTTCTAACTCTCTATCCTTCTCTCTTCCTCTCTGTAAAAAAATCAATAAGATATATATTTTAAAATAATAATAATAATAAAAATAAAATGGGGTAATGTGAGGCTAAATTAATCAATATGTGTAAAACACTTGAAACAGTGCCTGGGACAGAGTAAACTTCATTTATGTTCATTGCCATGCACACAAAACTAGAGCTTGGACATGTAAGATTCATGCTACCCCCCCCCCCCATGCACACACATGCCACGTGACCCACGCACCACGTGACACAGGTTTTCACACAGCATCATATATTTAGGGCTTGATAAATGTCAGGATCTGATTGAGGGGCAGCTTCTTGGACTCAGCTGCCCGATGATGGGGCCACCTCGCTTGGCTTGTTTTGACCGTGCAAGAGCCTGTCCCTCTGCCCCCCCTCAGGAAGGAGACATATTCCAACCAGAGACACATTAGCAGCCCAGCCGTCCAGCAGCACTGCCCTGCTTTCTACTCAGAAGGCATGGTGCTAGGGAGGGTGTGGTCCTCAGGGAAGCCATGTGCGGCTCTCAGAAGGGAAATGGGCCTCGAGAGGAAGGAGACTACTGAGTATGTCCAATGTGGTGTCCGGCTACCCATAGCAAAGAGCCATATTTTTTCCAGAAGCAGAGCCTCTACCCAGGTCTTCACAAGGCAGACCTGCAGAATAGAGTCTTCCTGAGGGATGAAGCAGCCCTGGCCTGAGAGTCCATTTCTCTGAGACCTCACTCCCAGAGGCCTTCCAAGGCCGCCGATGGCCTCACTTCTCTGTGGTTTGGGGGACAGCTAGGCCTGTTCTTCTGGCCTCATCCACGCCCAGTGGGGTTCCCTCAGCTCACTGAAGCTCCAGCTGATGGAAGCAAGCTGGGGCCTGAGGCCAGTCTTGACCTTGCCTTGTGCGAGAGCAAAGGACCCTGGGTGTTTCTGCCTTGGGCCACGGCAGTAGGAAAATACCCAGGCTGCCTTCCAAGCTGGCAGGGCCCTCTGGCTTTGCCACAGAGGCAGTGCTGCCTGCAAACAGGAAGCTTTCTCCTCCACGTAGGCTCAGTTCTGATGGCCCTCACACGCCCCAGCAGTTTTCCCCCAACAGGAAGGCGGTCAGAGCTTTCAGGCGTTTCCTCCTCCGCCATCTGCCATCCGGACAGGGGAGAGTCTTGGTTTCCACTCCTTTCCTGTGCAGGGGAGGCCGCTCTGGTTGGAGGCTGCCGGCATGACCCTGGAGCACTCGAGAACGGGGTGTTGGAGGGCACAGCCAGGGCCCGGACCTGGGTTCGCTGTTGAAGAATTATCCGAGTTTATCTGCTGAGCCCGAGTTCCTGAGCAGGACTCAGTTCCTCAGAACGGGCCAGTCAACAGCCTGGAGGAAGACCTCTGAACCTCGAAATCACGGGCCCCATGTTTATTTTTTAATAGATATTTTCATTGATTTCAGAGAGGAAGGGAGAGGGAGCGGGAGAGAGAGTGAATCATTGATTGGCTGCCTCCTGCATGTCTCACACTAGGGATTGAGCCCACAAAGCAGGCATGTGCCCTGACTGGGAATTGAGCCATGACCTCCGGGTTCATAGGTTGATGCTCAATCACCGAGCCACACTGACTGGGCAAGGGTTCCATATTGTTAATGGGAAAGGGGGCTAGAAGACTTGATGGAAAGACCACTTCCCTTGGCACCATGACCTTTGTGAGACGCCTTGGAGAGTAAGAGGGAAGGGACCCAGGACCCTGCGAATCTATAGTCATTGATTTTGTCTCACCTCCTCTTCCTAACATTTGGAGCTATTCTAGCCTTGAAACAAATGATTTTCTCCTCAGTATGGCACTATTAATAGTTTTTGTTATTGGCAATTTCTTTTGAACTTACTTTGAATAGTATAGTGGGCAGGGGCAGTGCTTTAATAAATTTGTTCTCTGGCATCTTACACCTAAGACACTAATAGATATGTGTTTTGGCACCGAGAAGTTTGTTTAGTGTTTTTTCTTATTGTGTGCTTATACACACATAGTTCGAGGTGTGTGTTTGGTTTTTTTTGTTTGTTTGTTTGTGTGTTGTGTGTGTGTGTGTGTGTGTGTGTATGTGTGTGTTTGTTTTCCAGATGGAATTTTAGAAAAAAAGGGATCCTTCCTGTGAAGGATTTAACCAGAATTATTGTCAAGACTCTGGGTGCAGTTCAGGGCATAAGAGTAATTTTGTCGCTTGCTCGTCATTTTTCTCGGTCTTCCCAGGAGGACTTTAAGAAGGACAATGGGGAGGAGCTGACCCAAGTCCTGTGTAAGAAGGACCCGGCTGAGGCGGGGACTGGCGTTTGCTCCTTGCTTCTGGCCCAGTCGGAGGTGAAGCCTCACTGCTTGCTTCTGGTCTTGCCCAACAAAACAGGTGAGGGGCACATCTGTCTCGAGGGCAAGGGAGGGAGTGGGGCTGAGGTTAGAGGATGCTGGGTAGAAGTCAGGCACCGGAACTCAGAGAGAGCAGGGGCTGGGGAGCAGGGCTGGGCTGACTTTGGGAGAGCTCGTCCTGAGATAAACCACTCCGGCCATCAGAGCATCTTCTAACACAGCTTAGGAGGACAGAGCAGGATGAGCTGGCTCAGCTTCTAGACTCAGCAACCCCCATTTCTAATTCTAGAACTTTCCAGCAAGATCGAACTTCTGAAAAATCACCGGTCTGACCTGAAGAAGGTAAGTTCTCGAGATGATGGGTTTGGGGTGTTTGCTGTGGTAGGGGAGAGAATAATGACCATCTCTAGACTTCCCTTTCCTCCCTCTCCATCCTTCTCCAACCATCTTCGCCTTCCTGTGCTGAGCCAGAATCTCCCAGTTCAGCTTGATTCAGAGATGTCCGTCTGAAATCCTAGTCAGAAAATTCCTGAGGTCCATGTCTTCCTGTGTTTGCTCGCTATTGGGCCACATGCGTGGGTCCAGTATGGGTTGGACTCCTTTGTAGAAGCCATATCCCGCCAGTGACGAGGCCGTCTTTTCTGTGCCTTCTCCCCAAGCTGGGGATCCAGGACTTCAAAGAGCAGAGTGTCGGAAGCCACCAGAGCTATTCCCGCAAGACTCTGATTGCGCTGGTCACCTCGGGGATCCTGCTGGCCGTCATGGGGATCACTGGCTACTTCCTGATGAACCGCCGCAGTTGGAGCCCCTCAGGAGAAAGGCTGGTTAGTTTCTGGGGTTCTGGCCACAGGAAATGAGGAAGATCGGGGTCTGCTGGGGCAGCCCACGAATGTCAATGTCAGGGGAGGAGAAATACCAGAAAAGGCACTTTTTATGCCCTTAGCACAGGATGGTCAGGCCCTACACATATCGTGTCCTTGGACGAATCCAAACCCATGCAGGGTGGCCAAAGGTAGGCTTCCAGTTGTTTGTATATGAAATAATCCAACCATTAAGAAATAATAATAACACAAGAATGGACTTGGCATTTCGTGTACTCACAACTGTAAGCCTACTTTTGCCGATTGGGGAGGGGGATTAACTGGGACCAGCTCACCTCCCTGTGGTCCCAGATGGTCCCTGCCACCGACTGACATTTTTAAAAAAATATATTTTATTGATTTTTTTTATTTTACAGAGAGGAAGGGAAAGGGATAGAGAGCTAGAAACATCGAGATCAGCTGTCTCCTGCACACCCCCTACTGGGGACGTGCCCGCAACCAAGGTACATGCCCTTGACCGGAATCGAACCTGGGACCTTTCAGTCCACAGGCCGACACTCTATCCACTGAGCCAAACCAGTTTTGGCCAACAGACTCTTTTCACTGGGACAGTTCATCTGGGCATGACCGGAGCAGGCTGCTGAGTCAGCCACTTGCAAACATATGACGTGGCCACGGGTGCCACTTGGCTCACCAGGGAGCATGTGGCAGGAACACATACTTAAAAATTCCCTTTTTGGGTGAAAAACCTATTGTTGACGTGTTCTGGATGAGGAAGGAGAGGCCGGGGTTTCACTGGTGGCCTCTGGCCGGGGGGTGCACACGCCGGGGAGCGGGTGTCCGGGGAGCTTGTGGTGCTCTCCGCTGTCCTTTCTCCTCTAGGAGCTGGAACCCTGATGGCTCTCCCGGAAGAAAGGAGTCTGCACATGCAGCCGCCACCCCCCCCCCATCCTCCTTCCCCGCTGGGTCTCCCTCCCCTGCTTTCAGATAATGCTCCTTTATTTATGCACCGTCTAGGGGGAAGACCCTTATTACACGGAGAACGGTGGCGGCCAGGGCTATAGCTCAGGCCCGGGGCCCGCCCCTGAGGCTCAGGGGAAGGCCAGTGTGAACCGAGGGGCTCAGGAGAACGGGACCGGCCAGGCCACGTCCAGAAACGGCCATTCGTCGAGACAACACACGGTGGCTGATACCGAATTGTGACTCGGCGGGGAGGGGCAAGGCTGGGTGGCGATGCCCGGGGAAGGGGGTCCGCCCTGCGTCTGGCTGCCTGATGCCTCCCTGCTGGGGGTGCCATCCCTCACCTTCTACCCTTGGTCCCTGCACACACCTTTCAAAGCCATTCCTGGGGCCCTGTCCTGCATCAGATGGGGGCTGAGAGGGGCAAGGGAACCCTTTATGCATTCAGCTCCCCCAACCCAGACTCTGGTCTCCTGAAGGAAGGGTGTGATGGGGGAAAGCCAGAGCTCAGAGAAGCTTCCAGGCGGGGCAGGTGATCCTGCAGCCTTCACACGCAGCCCCCTCCCGCTCCCGCCTCTCTGCCTCGTTCTGGGAACCCCTGGGAGAACGTGTGGGCTTTTCTGGTCTCCACTTTCCTCCCAGGGGGCTTTGCCTTTTACTGTTTCTTCCTTATGTTTTCTTTCTTTGCTTTAGAGAAACCAAAGCCACTCACTGCACCTGCTCTTTGTTATGATTATAGCCAGACACCTTGTCGCCTTACACCATGTACCTTACGCCCCCTCCAAGTCACTGTGGATCCAGTCACCTGCTTCCCTCTTGCTCTCCAAGGCTCCCTTGAGCTCCCCCATCCCCTCCCCCCTTACCTCCTCCCCTCTCCCCCCCGCCCTCCCGCCTCTGTGCAGAGGCCTACACAGCTTTCTGGCTGAGCCTGGACCAGGGCTCTGAGTATTATAGTAGAACAGTGTCTCTGCTTGGGAGACAGGATGGAGGTGCATGGACATGTGTTCCCACCCACCCGTGGGGGCAGATGGAGGAGAGCAAAGAGCTCAGTCCTGGTCCCGGGACCTCCCAGAGCCTCTGCCTGGGCTCCGCTCCTCCCGGTGGTCAGAGTGGGCAGGAGCACGGGACCACGCCATTGAGCCAAGCCCCTTGGCCTGTGCGCATCTCAGGAAGCCTCTTGCTCTTAGGCGAGGCCCTGGCCTTATTCTCCGATCTCGACGGCTTCCTTCTCCCCCGCTCCCTGATTCCTGGGGTGAGCTGTGTTCTCAGGGCCCCAGCAGACTCCCTCTGTCCCTGCCTCCCCCACCCTGACCCCTTTCACTGCTCTGTGTCCCCTTGTGGTCAGGGCCCCACGACATCTCCAGAGGACCCTCACCAGTTACCTCTTGTGGGTGACCCAGGTCCTCATTTTTGTGGGTTGTTTGTTTTTTTCCCCAGAGGGGTGAGCAGGGATCCTGATTCAATGACGGTTGGAAATAGAACTTTCCAGAGATAGGAAGAGTGGGTAGATTTTTTTTTTTTTTTCCTGAATAAAGAATGGTGTGTAAATACTGTGATTCAAGTCATAGTGGAACCCATTTTTCTGCGGCTCTGACCTGGCTGGGTGTGTCCGGGTGCCGGAGTGGCCGTCTCTCCGTCACGTCTGCTGGGCCCTGCAGCGATGTGTAGGGAGGACCATCTCGGAGGACACAGGTGCCCACCCACAGGATGCAGCCCTTTGGGATAAGTCTACCAGCCACTAGAGATGCTCACTGGGACTCTGGGACTCTCTAGTCATGGGAAGAAAGACTGATGGGAATTCAGGGGCCTTCAAGATGGGGGCTGGCTTGTTGACATCTGAGGGGCCATGCCTTTGATGACTATCTTTCTGAGAAGAGGCGCCTTTGGGTGATTGTGTGCAAAGCACAGGGAAGGAGCCATGCCCTGGGCACCCTCTGCTAACACGCCGTCCCCCGCCCCTGGCTGGGAGCAGAACGGGGACTCTGGCTGCCAGCTCCCGGAGGGGTGGTCTCCACCCTCAGCGTTAAGACAGCAGCCTAACTAACACCTTCTGTAAGCACGCCACCGCCTCCTGCCCCAATACCCTCCCCTCCCTCCTCAGACCATAGGAAGTGGAGGAGGGGGAGCACCGGACACCGCTGAGGAGCTTCAGGAAATGCTCCCCAAGTGTGTCAACAGTGGCGGAGGCCGTTGGGCCCAAACAAAGGATCCTTCCATTCTTATCTGACCAAAGCCAGTCCTTTCCCTTCAGCGCGGCCCCACCCCACTTCCTCCTCGCGTTCTTCAACTGCTCTAACCAGAGGTTCCTCCCCAGGAGACCAAAGGGGGAGAGCTAGAGCCAGGAGTGACAGCTGGCTGTGGGGGTTGGAGGAAGGAGAGGAGGTGGTCATCTGAAAAAAGAAGGGTGGCCTTCATCGGTCTGGCCACTCCTCCTATGAGAGTGACCAGATGAGGGTTTGGCCAGTTAGCGTGGCAGGAGCAGGGGTGCAGGGGTGGGTGCAGAGTACAGGCTCCCAGGAAATCTGGGAGGAGGGGGGAAGGCAACTGAGCCTTGGAAAGGCCTCCAGCCTCAGGCCCAGCAGCCTCAGTAGTATTTTACCCTGAGTTTGTCAGGGTTTGCAGCTTTAGGAGGAAGGGGTGTGTGTGTGTGTGTGTGTGTGTGTGTGTGTGTGTGTGTGTATTTAAGGGGTGCCTGTGTGTGTGTAAGGTGTGGCGACTAGTTCTGATGGCTGGAGTACTTGCGCTGAAGGGTCTCAGCTTTCTAGACAAACTTTCCCCTTTGGCCTAAGCCTTCCGATGCAGCAATGGCTCCACCTTCTGGCCATGCTGGGATCTTACCGCTCAGCCTCAGCTCCACCGCCTCCATATTGGGTTTCTCTCCCCTGCTGCCTCACCCTTGAACATCCGGCCTGCTCCAATTGATCTGCTATGTGAAGCTCCTATTGATGGACCTTCAGCAAGTCACTGCTGTTGAGGTCTTCAAAGATACAGTCAACTCGACTCCCTCATGGCAAAGACGAAGTAAGGCCCAGAGAGGGCATGTAGCTTCCCAGCTCACCCAGAGTCCAGGTGTCCCGGACCCAGGGCGCTCCCCTTCATCCTTTACCCCATTCTTTGGGGGTTCTCCAGGTGGGTGCCATGAAGCCGGTGAGGGCAGTGTCAGGGAACTTGGGGGGCTTCGCCTCTGGAATAGGTCATCCACATGCTCTCTCAGGCCTGGCCAGCCTCGCGGGGCCGAGGCCCCGGGACCAGGGAGAACCTGAAGAGGCTGGGAGGCTGGGCGGCTCTGCTGCCTCTGCTGTGCCCGTAGCCAGCCCCGGACAGTGAGCACTGGAGGGCCACACAGTTCGTTGTGGAATGCAGACCCGGAAGTACCTTCTGCCAGATTTTCATCTACCGTGTTTCCCCGAAAATAAGACATCCTCCGAAAATAAGACCTAGCGCATCTTTGGGAGCAAAAATTAATATAAGGCACTGTCTTATTTTTGGGGAAACAGGGTAAGTGGATAAAGAGGAATGTCCTCTACATCTGGATCAGTGGGTCTTCCCCATCTCTCATCCCCTTTAGGAAGATCAACCCACTTCTTTTTCGCAGAGACCCAGAGCAGGGAAGCAGCGGTGTGTGGCAGGATGCTGCTTCTGGCCCCAAACTCCTCCTCTGAGGAGCACACAGCTAGCACTCAGTCTTAGAGAACACCTACCGTGTGCCACACACTGTCCTAGATGCTGGGGACGGAGCCGTGGACAGATCCTCCTGGAGCTTACAATTTCAGCGAAGAGAAAGACCGTGAACCAACCCTTCTCTCTAAGTCAACATACACCTATGTTTTCAGGTCGGATTAAGAGCTTTGAAACATATGAACTAGTTTGAGAGTCATGGTTGGCATTGTACACATGTGGTTATTTTCAAGGAGGTAAGAACCGAGAGTATAGCTCACGGGAATGACGTGGGGACGAGATGATGCAATGCAAAGAACACGGCAAGTTCCAAGCCCTGGGATGCCAAGCCTGGCCAGTGCAGGCAGCGCCGCTGATGGAGGCAGACAAGAAGGCTATGGCGGCTGCACCAGCGTGCCGAGGGTGACAGTGACACAGGCCAGAACCAGTAGGTTTTTCAGGCCTTGATAAGGAGTTTGGGTTTTCTTCGTAGCCTGGGAAACCATGGGAGGGTTTTGATCAGGGAAGAAACATGATCTGCTTTATTGTTTTTAAAGATCATGCTGGCTGTCGGGTGGAGGACAGAGGTTGGGAGGCGAGAGCGTGAAAGGAAGCGAGCAGGTGGACAGCAGGGATAACATCGAGAACGATGTTCATGGCGGGGGGCAGAGTGGTGATAATGGAAGTGGTGAGAGGAAGCAGGGTGTGAAAGATTTGTTGAAGGTAGAGCTTCAAGGGACTTGCTCTGTCCATTTATTTCTCCAGATAATCGTCATCATCACAATAGAAATAGCTCACAGTTATTGAGGACTTACTATATCTAAATGGAGATGCTAAACCAAGATTGAAATGGTGTGTGTCAGTTCATATTCATTGAAACCCGCAGTAGGTAGTTATCTCAGAATAAGAAACCAACTCAGAGAGTAACATGGGGCTGTGCTAAAGGCTCCGTAACAGAGAGGTAAGATATACGTATATAATGAATTAATATATATTAATACATATATAATAATATATAACTTAATACTACAAGCGCATTAATACAAACAAAACCAACCACGAAAACAAACATTAGGCAGAAAATGAGAAATAACACAGGAAAAGACAATGTGCTGTGTATCCAGAAATGGGCAGGAGTCCTAGCTGGGAAGATTGGGGCTGGGTCATGGTGAAGTATCTGAGTGGGGCTGTCAAAATGGATAGGATGTGGATGATGAAAATGGGTGAGAGCCCGATCACAGTGGCTACGTGGTTGAGAATCAACTTATGAACTTGGAGGTCAGGGCAGATGCCCGGGTTGCAGGCTCAATCTTCAGTAGGGGGCATGCAAGAAGCAGCCCATCAATGATTCTCTCTCGTCATTGATGTGTCTATCTTTCTCTCTCTCTCTCTTCCTCTCTGAAATCAATACAAGTATACATTTTTTTAAATGGGTGAGGACACTTAGGCTGAGAGAAGAGCATACATGGTATATGTTGAGATGGGAAGTATAAGGTACTTGGTAAAAGCAATGTGTTTCCAGTATGGCAGAGGGAGATGTGTGACGGACAGCTGAGTACCAAACATACATGTGTCAGTTTGTGCAG